ACAGAGACTCTACCAAAAACTGAACTAAGGGAGTGACATATGTCCGACTTGAACTGAACACTACATTGAGCTTCAAGACTCCTTCCACAGAGACTAGCTGATTATTGAATCCGTAGATGGGGCCATCGTACTTCTGTAGAAAAGTAGGGTCAAGGCCAAGGCTCTCAAAGCAGTGATAATACATGATATCTAGAGCATTTCTTGTGTCGACAAGGACACGTTGGACTTCACAGTTATTGACAATGACTGAGGTGACAAGTGGATCATTGTGTGGCATGATGACACCATCAAAATCAACTGAATTGAAGGTTATAGATTGGTTCTCTAGTTTGCCTCATCAAATTTTCTCTTCTGAGCTCAGTTCTGGTGTTTCACCTCCATCACATATAGCTTCTGCTGCTTTGAGCTCGTTTCTCCAACTTCCAGCCCACCAATTATCATGTGAATGATGTGTGAAGGTGCAGGAAGTGAAGATGGTGCTTACTGATATCCAACTCTAGTTATGTTGCTTGCATCCCGAGATGCTTAAGGTCGTCCCTACTTTCGGATGAACTTGAGTTGGTCCTTGTTGGAGATGTAATCATTCAGCATCCTTTTTCGAGCTAAACCCTCGAGCTCGGACTTCAAATTGTGACATTCCTCTGTGGTGTGTCCGTGGTCTTGGTGGAAATCACAATATTTGCTATGATACCTGGAGCCAGGTGAACTCCGCATAGGTAGGGGCCTTCTAATCTCCATTTTGTTCTTGATTTACATCAAAATTTGCGACCTCGGTAATGTGAGTGGAGTCCAAGTGATTTGCTTAGTCATAGGTTATGGGGTATTCAGGGTGGGTCTGTCAACTTCAGTTGGGAATGGACCTTGGTTTTGTGTAGCTTTGAATCTCTTCTTGTTGGCTTGCTAGACAAGGCTTATTCCTCAGCCTGAATGAACTTCCAAGATCTTTCATTGGCTTCATCAAATGTGATGGGGGGGCTTTATCAAGCTATCTAAGAACCTCTCGTGCTTAAGACCTTAGATTATTATGGTAGCTAATCCCACAGCCTGATTAAATGAGCCGATCTCCAATACTGCATCATTGAATCTATTTATGTAGTTTTTCAGAGATTCATCTTCTCTCTGGACCACCTGCATAAGCTCGGAGGTCATCTTTCTTATCAGTTGTCGACTTGAGAACTTCGTTGCAAATGATGTTGCTAGCTCAGCATACGAACTGATTAAGTTCAGCTGCAAACTGTAGTACCAAGTTTAAGCATTTCCACACAATATAAAGGGGAATATTTTGCACATCAAGGCATCTGAGGCATTCTGAGCTTGCATAACAGAGTAGAATGCATGCAAGTGGTCATCAAGGTCCTTGGTGCCATCATATGACTCGAATTGAGGCATTTTGAATCCAGATGGGTATGGCTCTTGGATGATGTTGGTATTAAGGGGGGTAGGGAATGGGGTAGAACTGGGTTAAGCTGGAGGTAGGAGATTTCGGTTCTCGGCCACCATTCTTTCTAGGTTATCTAGCCTATTAGAAACATCTGAGACAATTGGTTGGGGTGGTTGTGGAGGTGGACGTGCCATGTGGGAGTGGCCTTGGGATTCATTTTGAGGCGAGACGACAGTTCAGGCTTGTGAATTGACATTTTGTTGAGGTTGGTGATTGGGTGCTTGGTTGTTGGGTGCTTGGTTGGTTGGATTTAATAGGGTGATGAGGGGGTCACCTAGGTTGTCTTTGGCTAACAATTGTGTAAGCACAAGCTGAAACACACCGAATTGTTGTTGCATAACATTGAGCTGGGTGGCTATGGGATCATTTGGGATCTCTGCTGGGGTTATTCACCCCAATTCCTTCTACATGCTGATGTTGGACCATGGGAGGTGACACGGTATGAGACATAGGATTTCTGTTGAGGAATTGACCTCTTCCTCAGCCTTGTTGAGGGCTTCCATGTTGCGTTGAACGCGTGTTAACCATCATAACAGCTACCAGCAAGGCTTTTAGCTCGGGTTCCCACAGACGACGCCAATATAGTTGCAGAGAACTGGGAGATATTCTGGAACTCGGATCTTCACTTTGGTTATCTTGCAAGACCCCGAGGTTGGTCATTGGGGTAGACACGCCAATGCCTAAGTTAGCAATAATCAGAGCTACTAGCTATGAAGCAAGAGAAAGAGCTAAGTTAAAGGTCGGTTTCAAGTACCTTTCTGAGGTGGACCCTGGGGGGTATTTATAAGCCTTCAAGGAGGTGTCCACATGTTGATCCTTCAGAGAAACCAGAGTAATGCGTGTCAACCATCGCAAGTATCTCTCATGAGGAATTTGTGTGCGTACAAAGCTACTGTGGAGCGAGAGCAGAGGGGACGAGCTCGAATTCGACAGAGCTCGTCGCTCTTCAATCAAGTCAAGGTAACTAGATTGTTGGGAACAGTTTCAACCATCCAAGGTATGTACCTCAGACTGATATGAGGTACGTGACCTCTGACTACTAACATACCTCTGATACCTCATGACCTCTGACTACCAGCATACCTCTGATACCTCATGACCTCTGCCCACCACCACTACAAAAAGTTTGTTTTTACTTCATTTCCTTTCTATGTTAGTACAAGTTTTCATGTTCGGAGAGTTTTATAATTCTCATATTTTGTATCCTTTGTATTGGCAGGTGGAGAATCAAGAAGGGATTAAGAATGTTGATGAGATTCTTGCACATTCGGATGCGTTTATGGTGGCAAGAGGTGATTTGGGGATGGAGATTCCGATTGAGAAGATTTTCTTGGCTCAGAAGATGATGATCCGGAGGGCTAATATACTGGGAAAACCGATTGTGACTGCAACTCAGATGCTGGAATCCATGATCAAATCTCCTAGGCCTACTCGGGCCGAGGCCACTGATGTTGCCAATGCAGTTCTTGATGGCACGGACTGCGTCATGCTCAGTGGAGAAACTGCTGCCAGCGCCTACCCGGGATTGGTGTTCAAACCATGGCCAGAATCTGCCCTGAGGCAGAAGACTTCATAAACTATGGAGATCTCTTCGGAACAATAATGGAAACTGCACCAATGCCAGTAAGCCCCTTAGAGAGTCTTGCCTCTTCAGCCGTTAGGACTGCCAGTAGCATCAGAGCGCAGCCATGATTTTGGTTCTGACCAAGAACGGTTTCACAGCAAAGTTTGTGTCCAAATAAAGGCCAAGCGTGCCAGTTTTGGCAATAATCATTGCGGAAATAACTATGGATTTCCGTGAGTGGTCCTGCAGTGAAGAATTTCCTGCAAGGCATTGCCTTGTTTACAGGGGTTTGGTGCCTGTTTTGAGTTCTGGATCAGCAAAGCCTTCTCACTCAGAATTGACAGAAGAAACAACAAGGTTTGCCATTCAACATGCAAAGGAAAAGGGACTCTGCAAGGCTGGAGACTCCATCGTTGCATTGCAGCCTGGTGCCTATTAAGATCATGATTGTGGATTGATCATAACAGAGGAAGACTAATCGTTGCAGCTTAATTATAACATATTTTTTTAAACGTCCTTTTTTTATTATTTATTCAGTTTTGCGTAATAGGGCAGTGATGGATGAACAATTTCATAGAGAATTTGTTATTTAGAAGGTTTCTTAACAGAATTATTTAGCTTTACTTGCATTCTTTCGCTTAGTTTTCTGATACTTTACAGATCATGATGTACTAATGCTGCAAATCATTGAGCGGAAAATTTTCAAATTATATAGAACTATCAAACTGGTAAATAAGAGACTTGAACCTTTTCTGGTCTGGAACATTTTGGAATGGAAATTATTTTTCATTGTTTGGTTTGAAATGGAAAATCTTCAAATTTTCTTGAACATTAATTTTTGTAAATATATTAATATTTTAAAACATTAAATAGCATCAGCAAGATGATATTATAAGTTCAAAAAAAATTATTAACTTGAAAGAGAGGGATATTAAACATTGAGATTAGGAAAAATCAAGATATTTTGATATTTAAAATGTTAGAAACAATATTAAGAAAAAATAATATACCTTTAATAATATTTTAAAGGTATTTAAATAATTTTATAAAATTTTAATATTTAAAATGTCAAAATTTCTTGATATTTAATTTTCTCCTAAACATAACAATGTTAATAATTCTAATAAAATTTAATTATAAAATTTATCAACTTCTAGTACAATAATTCTTGTTTTCTTTCTCACATTATTTTTCAAACTGTTTTCCTACAAAAATTCTTTCAAACCAAACAGGTATTTTACGTTCAAAGGAAAACAAAATTTCAATTCTCATCTATATGGCCTTCTGAACTTTCACTTCTTGGCAAGGCAAGTGAAGCTAAAGTCCCACTACTTGGGGACCCAGAGGAAAAAGGCAAACCATCAAAAAGCCATGGAATAGGGATCAAAGTCTTCTTCCATTTCCTGTTCTATCTTCTACAACTCCAATTCTGCTGTTGTTTTGAGCCTGAAGACTTCCCCCTCTCTCTTTCTTCATTGTTTCTTCCTCCGTTTGCCTCAATCTTTGAATCATTGGATGGCAACTGAAATTGGCGTACAGGGCAAGAGCTATGAAGTTCTAGCCATGGAACCATACAAGCATGATGAAATTTATGCTTACATGGCATCTCCCTTTCTTCACTCCCAATTTCAAAATCCTCCAAGCATATTGAACACCGACACTGAGTATTCTCCTCTATATTCACAATTGGCATTGCTTCAACTGCTTCTTTCTGTTCTGGTGGAGTTCCGTATCGGTTAGCATCATTCTCGGCCAAATGATGAAGTAGAAAATCCAAACCAGGTCCAATGAAGTAATCAGCAAGAGAAATGGTTACTCTGTTACTTGGGATTTGGCCCTGGTTAGAGCCAATTGAACCCTGAACAATCAAGGCCTCTTCGTTGAATGGATCCAATAAAATCAAACTACCCCTCCGTCCTATATCTGAATGCCCTGATTCTGAAGCTGATGAAGAACGCATATCTTGAAGAGCACGGGTATTGAAGCTGATCCTCTTCTTCTCCTGAGGAGAGATTCATATTCTCTATCTGATTCAGCCTCTTCATCCTCTGAGTTGCCATTGGTTACTTGCTCTGGGGCACTGGTATGCAATCCTGAAGAGGTTAAACCACCCATTAATGCTAGCCTGACTGGAGCCCAGAGGGACAGTGTGATCTCAGAACCAACAAAGTCAGGGCCACTGCTGTTGTTATTAGGATATCTTGTGCTGCTCATTTCTTCCACACAGCCGTTCCCGCAGAAAGGGCAATTGATGTCAGCTTCAATTGATGGATTCACCATCCGAGCGCACGTGTGACGCCAGTATCGACCCGCAATTGCATCCCCCATCTCTCTCCAACAGCCTAGCCAAAGTTGAATTAAGGAAAATGGAAGGTCAACTAAAGATGGGAAAGGGAGAAACCAAAAGAATAAAACAAAAAGAAACTCAAAAAATCAAGTTTAGTTTATTCAAAGAATCATAAACCAATTTTTTTATTTTATAAATTCATTAGGGTTCTAAAGTAGTAATATGTGATTTGAAATTATGCTAAAAATGTAAATTTAAATATATGTAATGCTATTTAGATGCTAAAAATTTAGAAACGCTCAATATTCTTAAAAGTATATAGCCTTATGTGTCGGCATACCCATCTCGTAGCACGATCAGCCAAGCAAGAGAATATTGACAATTGAGTTGGTATTTTTCTTTCTTTCTAATGGGCTAAACATGGAAATTTGGTTAATAAATTCTCGTATTTTGCAATAAAAAAAAATTATGCAATTCAAATTGTACAACAAAAATTATTGAATTAAAGGTAAATTTCTAATATTAAAAATTATTAATCTTTTGATTCAAAAGTATTTATTTTATAGTCTATTTCACTTTGAATTATAAAATGAAAAACTCAAAATAAATGCTTGACAAAGATATAAAAAAAATTTTATCTAGAAGACGATTTGAATTTGCAGCAGATTTAGACCTGCAACAACTTAATCATGTCTTTTAAATAAAAAAGGAAGATATAAAAGTGTCAAAATCTAGTTAATAATCATACAATTTATGTCACAAGGAAGAAAAAGATCAAGACGAAACAAATAAAAAGGAAAAGAAACTGAGATGTTACGTTGTGTTGTTTGGCACCTTTTGGATAGAGGATGTGGGATATTGCCGTGTGAATCAGAATTGTCGTGGAAGACACTGAAATGGATGGGAAAATATCTAGAGATAAAAAGGATCCTTGTCCTCTATTTTCCTTCTCTAAACTTGTCATGGGATAGGTACCTTTTTAGGTCAATTATTTTATTTACCAATCAATTTGGTTGTTTGCTTCCGTTACCACCCAAATTAGTGTTTTCTTTATATTTTCTTTTTCCCATTGAACATGATAAATTTTGAGAGAAGGTGAGTAATTACAAGAGGCTGCAACTGCTGTGGATTGAACCTGACAAATACCAAGGTCAAAGTGCGCCTTATCCGGTGCGGCATTAGCCTCAGGTACACCACAAAAATTAGTTGATGTCAAATACTTATAATCAAATATAGAGTTATAGGTTTTGTTTGTATTTTTTGTCTCTGAGTAGAAATCTAATGGCTATATTTTTTTCAATATTTTTTGTTTAAGAGGAAAATGTTGTTATCATATAAGAAAGCTTGCTAAACAACTACAAAATTAGGCTAAAGTGCTCTAATATTGGGCTGTAGGCCATTCATGAAGGAGTATGCATTTTATCAATTAAATTATTTCTTGTTTAATTAACTGTTAAGAAAGAAATAACTGATTGTTTAATATAAAAAATAAAAATATTAAAATTATAATTAATAATAATTATCAATTATTCGATATCTACAATCACCTATTAATTGTTCCTCAATCAAAATGGGCAATGTTACTAACCTAAGAACAGTTGGTTAAAATGCATTTTTCTCTAGCTTCATGTGGACACATCTGGTTCAATTCCCCCACACCCACTCTTGCTAGTTAACTTATTAAAATGGTAACCTACTAAATTATCAAATTAACTCAAAAAAACTTTCATAAAATGCTCAATGTCTACTCTCCCTTATTATTATTATTATTTATTTAAGGTGAAGGTGTTTCTAAGCCAATTTTGACTCATTTCAAAAATATTCTTTTGTCAAGTAATCTTAAACACATACTCTTAATTTTTTAGGTATTGTCTCAAAATTTGAATCATGAATGTCACACTCCAGAACCTAAATCCCGAGGCAAAACAGATGCCATATAGTTGTAAGAGGAACCCACAAATGCACAAGGCTCAGAATTTACTAAATTCATAACTAACAATCCACATAAACTTAGATTAATAACTCAAAATCTACTCTAATACCATAACATCTCAAAGTAAAATCTAGCTTATAAATTAATGATCTATATTTCAAAAAAATCTATGTCCAAAATACAAGTAACTAGCCTCCTAGCTTGTCACTCTCCTTTGTTTCCCGCATCTCAAGTCATACTACCTGAAATGGTGGACAAGGAAAAACTAGTCAGACAACTTAGTAAGTAAAATATGAATAGCCCTTATTTAATGTGTAAAGCATGCCAACAAGTGTAATCAAGTATCAAGAAAAATGGGTTTAAGTACAAGAATGAAATAGACGTCTCCTCTATAGGTCATGGCCAGCGTTTATAAACCTCCCACTGGCAAGCACAAGATTTGCTAGTGTATAATCCCACTAACAGGATAACATGTATAACAAGAATGAATTGGTTTCATAAGTAACATGTCAACATGTGCTAGCATTTATAAACCTCCCACTAGTGGGCATAATAAAACATGACCATATTGGAGACAAAACCAGGCAAAAGTTAATAAGAAAACCGTAATTTACAAATAATTTACAAATAATTTCCAGATCATCAGGACAGTCAAGTAAACTCCAAGTAAGCATGCTCAACTCAATGAAAATGATAATAATTTCATTTCAAACCAATCATGCTTGTGTTTGTGTAAAACGGGTTTAGTCCTACCACCATTTCAAAAACCATCAGAAATATGCTTTCAAAAAGACCTTTACCTCAAATCCAAAGGCGTTACCATACTTTTACTTACCTCTTCTTGTCGGCTTACAACAACAAGTATTCAACATTTCAAGGAGATGGTGGTGACTTAGAACCTATGCCACATTAAAGAACAAACAAGATTACAATGTACCCCATTTAGTTAAATTGGCTTCTAATTCCAAAATCAAGTTTCTATCCAAGGTAACAATTTCTTCCTACACACACCCTTACTATTTTTACCCCTTTGAAATCTTATTAACATATAAATATGTTTAACCACACTTAGAGTATGCTTAAAACAACCCTCATTGTCACACGCAACAGCAACATTTATGGGCAAAACAGCAACTATTTATGGGCAAAAACAATAGAAATTTCTAGCAAGAACAGCAGAATTTTTTCTAGACAAAACAACAGCTATTTATGGTTTAAAACAGCAGATATTTCTAACAAGAACAGCAGAATTCTTCTAGGCAAAATAGTAGCAAAAACAGCAGCAAAATAGCAGGATTTTCTAGGCAAAAACAACAGCAAATTCATGGGCAAAAATAGTAGTAAAACAACAGTAAAATAGTAGAACTTTCTGGGTAAAACAGTAGCAAATTCATGGGCAAAACAACAGTAAAACAACATCAAAATAGCAGAATTTTCTAGGTAAAAACAATAGGATTTTGTGGGCAAACAGCAGCAAAAGAATGTTAAAACAAGCCAAAACTAGGCAGCATTCAAGCAAAAAATGTAGTAGCAAAAGGCAACCAAAACAAAGCAATAACAAGGGGTTTTACAGCATAAAAACAATAGCTAAAATCTAGTAAAATCATGATGTAATATGGTAGTAGATAAGGTGGGAATAAAGAGAGCAATTTCTGTCAAGTTTAGGTCAAATTTCGTGCTGGAATTTCCAACAGAATTCATGCCCATAAATTGGTTGATCTAGGTTGAGTGGTCAACAGATAAATTATAACCCTATGTCTTAGTGTTCTATAGTCTCAAGAATTACCTTAATCTGAGAGAGTTATGACCAAAATACTAACAAAGGTCGGGCTGCCAGTGCAGTCCTCCTACAGGGTTCAGAATTGCAGTAGATTTTTCACCATGAAAACGACTGAACTGGGTTAAACGTCCATATAAAAGTTGTAGGGCTATCTCTTAGCCTTCTATAGAGTTACAAATGGACTCAATCCAATAAATACAAAAAGAGTTATGGGCAAAATACTACAAAAAGGTCATGCAGTCCGAATTTCTAGCAAGTAAAGGAAATCAATTTCTGGTGGTAATTATCATGGATGAAATCAAGGGGAAACTACAGAAAATTTCTAAAATTTGAAAACCCTAAAGGATTAGAGTTAACCCACTTCAAATCAACAATGTAAAGATGAGAAACGTGGCTAATTTTACAAAAATTTTGCAAAAGAAGCACCCACTAAGGCTTCAAGTCACAGACAAGGAAGAAGAACATAAAGTAGCGATTTTGATGAGAACAAGGTTGATGGCTTCAAGGGTTTTGAATTTAAGGCGGAAGAGGAGAGGAAAACCAGAAAAAAAAAAAAAAAACAAAAAAGAAGAAAGAACCCGAAAAAGAAGAAAGAAAATAGAAAAGGAAATTTAGGTTTTCCTTTGTCTTTTATTATGTCCATCCAACCCCCCCTTTTTTGTTCCAACATCCCCAAGATTGAAGAATGAGACAACTTGTTCCCCAATAAAATCCCCTTTCATATTAGACATTTCACATCTAAATTAATTAATTAATTATACATAATACTCAAAATTTTGGGGTATTACAATGAAGTTGGACAGCAAAATAACACACGTGTATCCACTCCTTGGGGTTTACTCTCCCCTATTATTTTTAATAAGCTCAATTAACTAAACATATATTTTTAAACAAAAGATTTGGACAAAGGATAATAGGTAGAGGCTAGATCGACAGCTATTCACTGTACATCCAATCACCAAAGCACAGTCCAAAGCCCAAAACATGATCCACTGTGAAAATAGGTGGAGGTTAGATGGACCGCTATTCATGTACATCCAATCAACAAAGCCCACTCTACAGCCCAAACGGTAAATACCTACCTACCAGGCTACAAGGCCATATTTGGAATTCTAAGTAAAAAGAATTTCGGTTCGAGTTGTATAAAACTAATGCAAACCCTAGAATGAAGTTATCTACTTGATCTTATCTGAGCGGAGAACTCAATTCCCCCGTCTCCGAGCCACTCGGTCCTTCATTTAGGGCTCGTTGGAGGCTCGACGGAGATGGGTTTGGGGATTCTTGTTCTCTGCAGTGAAGACCGCCCGCAGGCAGAGCCGAGCTAATCAGTTAGGCTGTGATGGCTTTGCGGGCGTAATCCCAAGTCTAAATATCTTTTTTCTTCATTTTTCGGATTTATTTTCTAGGCATACTAGTGATTGTTTTGTTGTTCATCCCTTTCTCCGTCGAATCAACCTACAATATCGGTGGCCTTCTCCGTAGGCAAGCTCCAATCGCTCAAACTCTATTTTTTGTTATTGTAGCTTTTTGAATAAAAATCAGATAGAGAAGTGAAAATTTTAGATGCATAACAGGAGTCCTGTGAAATTGTTCAATTTCACCAATTAGAAACAAAAAGAAAAAAACCCCTTTATTTGAGGGTTTGTTAAGTGTCATCTGGTGTTTAATTTCAAATTATTGCGTCAATTACCTCTGAATTCTAATTTCAATGTAATCCAACTCCTCTTGGTGGTTTTTTTTATTTTGTTGGTCAACCAAGTCGGTGAAATTTGTTGTATTCTGTTTTCAGACGTATGGATTTACTGTGATGTAATTGATGGATCGAATTTAGATTTATATCAAAATATTCTCTATGGTTTCTATTATAAGATAATTGCAGTTCCGTACAGAGTATATTTGAATTTGAGACCCTCAAATTCAGTATCACCGTATGTAATTGGTTAAAATAGAGTGTGTGTAATTGAATTTGAGTGAGATATATGTATTTTACTCTGAGTACTTGAGAGAGAAAAACTTGAATTCAAATTCAACCTTGCACTCCAGGTATTTCAAGGAGCTACATCTCCCCAAGTTTTCGTCTCTCTTGGCAGCAAGTTCTAGATCTAAGCACTAATCTCTAATCTTTTCATCGGATTTTCGTTTTTTTCAGTTTACCTTCCTGTTGTTATTTATATTTGCTGGTGAGTTTATCTTCTTAGATGTGTAATTTGAGTACCCATCTTAAATCCCTAGAATTCTAGTATTTAATCACTAGGACAAGTGATCTTCACGACCCCTGCATGCATGACCCCTTAGTACCTTGCAATAGCATCGCACACCTGGATACAAGGTAGCTGCACTCCATTTCATAACTAAAGTATCAGAAATTGTTAGGAGTTGCAACAGATACCAATGTAGGAGGTGTCATTAGGTCACAGGACCTACCGGTAAAATAATCTTGATGCTAGTCATTTTGCTTCTACGGTGCTGGACCATAGTAGATTCAAAAACATTCTCTGTTTCCATGAAGTTAGACGTGTTGACATTTTTTATCTAATTTTTAAATGGATGGAGGAAATTTTGTCATGTTAGATTTGTAATTCTAGGCTTTATGACAGATCAGTTACCACTTTGGAAGGAATGAGGTAAAAAGATAAGATTTTATCTTTTAATTACCTTTTAAAGTTAAATTGGATTTGTTTTAACTGGAATTTAAGAGGAGGTTTTAGTTATGAGTATGGGTTATTAAATAAAGAGAATATGCGACGAAATCTGGAAGGCAATTTAATCCCGTCAACTGCTGAGGTGTTTCACTATATCAAGAAATTACCCATGATTTTTGAAACAGTAGAAAGTGGGAAGTTTTAGCTAGAAAAAGGAGAATAAAAGGGAAATTTTGGATTAGAGAACACACAAATAGCCCTATTTAAAACCTGCAAATTTTCAAGCTTTTGTTTTCTCTGCAATTGCTCACTTTTGCTTACAGATTTCAGATTTCATCACAATTTCTAGTAGATCTATTTGCTTTTCATAATTCTAGTAGTCAAACTAGTTCGAGTACTTGTTTCAACAATTTCGTTTCATGTATTGAACTTCAAGCTTAAATTAGTTCGAGTATTTGTTTCAACAATTTCGTTTCATGTATTAAACTTTAACTTTTTGAATTTCTACAATGTACTATTTCTTTTTTTATTGGTGTTAATTTAAGGTTAAACCCCTTTTTTGGTCCCTCAACGCAAAAAATCCCTGACTTGGTCCCTACTGTTTACCATTTTTACCTCAATTTGGTCATTCCGTTAAAAATCCCTCCACGTGTATTGTTAATTCACGGTAAGATGATAACATGTCAAAATTTTAATCTACGTGGAAGACAACATGGCAAAAGCTAGTGACATGACAATAAAAATTTAAAAAATTCTCTCCTTCCTCTTCATTTCTTGAACCTCTCCCTCTTCATTTCCTGAACCCAGAGCCTGGGATCGTTGAACCCGTAACCATGGGTTCCTTCAAACCCAACTCGGCGTTCCTCATTCCTTTTCTCCTTCCTCTTCATTTCCTTCTTCATCAATCAATTCATCATCATCATCATCATCAAACAAAACCCACAAAACCACAATTTATTTATTTATTTTTTTGTTGAAGAACCCAGTGCCCTGGGTTCAATCAAACTCGGTGCTGGGTTCACTCTTCCTTTCCTTCTTCATCAATCAATTCATCATCATCATCATCAAACAACACCCACAAAAACACATAAATTATTTATTTATTTTTTTGTTGAAGAACCCAGTGCCATCGAACCCAGCATCGGGTTTGAAGGAACCCAAAGCTTGGGATCGTAGAACCCAGGTGATGGGTTCCTTCGAACCTAGCTGGGTTCGTTCTACCCAACGCATGGGTTCATCGAACCAGGCAATCTGGGTTCGTCGCCTGGGCTTGGGTTCGTCGAACCCAGGTCCAAACGACGAACCCA